GGGGGGGGCTGTTACAGGGGGGTCTTGCCCCACCTTCCTTCTGGGCTTTTTTTTTTAATGTGAATTTAAGTGACAAAAAATTTCTACTTATTTATAAAATCTTATGTAGCATGATTTAGATAAAATTTTAGACGATCAAATTGTATATTTGATTTTTGTTTACTTATTTTTTATTCATTTTAAATCCGTCTCTCAGGTCTAATATGGGCAGAGATAAAGCAGCTTTGGGATGAAGGTGCCCAGGAATATATACAGGACATGTGGAACATTCTGGACTTTGCCACAAACACATTGTATATTGCTACTATAACACTCAGGATTGTGGCCTACATGAATGTAAGCTAATTTTCCTATGGATATTTTTTTTTTCAATTTAAATCAGAAATCCATTTATTCTGGCAGTTTTCTGCCCTAACCAGCTGTCAGACCCTTAGCTGTAATGGTACCAAACCCCAAACTGTTTCTTTCTACTTTTTTCTAATGCTGCCTAGAATCATGTTGTCAAGAGTATTCTGAAAATGTTCCCATTGTATCTCTGATAGTGATAGATATTCCAGAAATGTAACTGGGCATTTCCTTCTCAATATATATACATATAATTCAGGGCTTGACACTAACCTTTTCTCCACGAACCCTTTGGACCAGAGAGGTTCAAATCTCACTGACCTGAATCAGTCTTCCACTTGCCCAACATGACATCAGAAATTACGACTAATAACAACTAATATCGCTAAATATTACAAGGGCTACTTTGCGCATTAAAATTTACTTGCCTTTTTGGGCCAGTAACCCCCTGTGAATCAATCAAATCACTGGCCCGAGATCAGTTTCCCGTGGCCCTGGGCCAGTGGGCCACCTTTAATGTCAAGGCCCTATAATTGTAGATACACATGTCAGATAGTGTATTTTGGAAGTGAACATATGGATGTTGTCTATTTCAGGTTGAGCGAGACGTCTCGGGAGGTGTACCCACCAGATATGTCCCCAGAAAAGACTGGAACGCCTTCGATCCCAACCTCATCGCCGAGGGTACCTTTGCAGCTGCCAATATCTTCAGCACTCTAAAACTCATCTACATTTTCACTGTGAATCCACATTTAGGGCCCTTGCAGATTTCCCTGGGGCGCATGGTGATGGATATCATGAAGTTCATGTTTGTTTATTTTCTGGCATTGTTTTCATTTGCCTGTGGCATCAACCAGTTATATTGGTACTATGCAGCTGCCAGAAGACAAGAGTGTCAAGTCAGCGAGAATGAGTGCAAGAAAAATCATGAGGCATTATCTAAGTAAGTTTTGAATAACATGAATTTTCAAAGCAAGTTTGTACATGTACATGTATATATGGTAGTCATTGTTGTTGGATCTTCTTGTTACATAGTCCCTTTCTTTCCCAGAACCTTTCCTTTCCCAGATAGCATATTACTAGTGGCTAATGTTGGACTGCCTATGGCAGAGTAACTGGTCCTTACCCAATAGCTATAATTATAGTAGTCCTTTTACTATTGAACAGACAGTGACCCCATGATGACATTAGCAGCAAAACAAAGCCAGAGCTGAGATTATTTAGATGTTGGCTTGCCAGCCAAACATCACAGTAACTTCAAAAATGTGTCATGGGCTAACTAATTGTTGAAATTGGCCAAGCATTGGCTCATTTGCAGTGTTGCAGTAACTTTGAACAGTGAAGCCAAAATGTGCTGTTGGACCAACCACTTGTTGAGATGGCCTAGCCTTGGCTTCCAAGTGATGCATTGCAATAATTTCATACTGGAAATGTTGTCAACTGGAACACTCATCAAAATTGACCCTAAGAGACAATTCCCAGAGCCTATCGTACTAACTGTGGATTGATCTCCAAAGGGATTCTTGCTAAATTGCAATCAATTAAAGCAGCTTAGATATCTGTCATGCCTACTGAAGCAGCTAGGGGGTAATTAATTATCGTTTAGCAGCTTTAGTAGGTGTGCCAGACATCTAAGCCACTTAAGCTGAAAGCAATTCAGCAAGAAACCCCTTGAAGATGGACCGATCCTGTAAGATCGATCTAGGTATGGGGACCCAGTCTAAACTGGCTTGCCATCAACAGTTTGCAGTCTTTTTGTAGCTATATATAAGGTGCAGCCTGCAGGTTTCTTGCTATCTGGGTTGCTTTCCCCCCTAATCACAGTGTTGTTCGCTTTTTTTTTGCTTTCAGTTGTTCCAGATCTGCGGTCTATCAGGGTAACCATCCACAGTACTGGAGAAGATTAAATGGGTGAACAGATATGCATGTGCATGACAGCTAGAGAGAGTGATTATATTTTGGTTGTTCATTTTCTAACCATTTAATTTACAGATATGAATGCTGCATGCTTGAAAATGATTTTGTCTGCAGGAACCTTTTGGCAACCATATTTGATTGCATGGAAGGCTTAGCCACAGAGATTGAAGAACATGTTTTGATAGGAAGGTTGAAATATCACCTGCTGCACACACAATTAAATAGATTTAGGTCTTTGATGCAATCACCAGGCATTCAGAACTGATGAAACTTTGTTTTAGAAAAAATACATCTGGTAGTGACATCTTGTCTGGAACATCCTGCAGACAACAGTGGACATTAAATCCAGCGTGCAAGCCATTAAAATGGAATCAAAACTTAGTTAAGAAGCAAATTAGTAAATTATGCCTACAAAAGCTTTGTGAAAAGAATCTGGAACACGCAGTTGGGTAGGACCAGCTGTCATAAAATGTGGACAGATTATTTTGCTGATGAGAGCACTTTGTTTGTCATGTCTGTCGTGACATGAAATTGGTGCTTTCTTAGAATAATTACTGGAATCTCACAATTTTTAGCATCGATTTTTATAATCTCAATCCAGACGTGCTTTGGGGCATGTTTCCACCCATGCAAAGAAGACTGTTCTTGCAGACAATAAACACCTCAATATCGTGTCCGTCTGGTTCGGATCATTTTTAAAAAATATTTTTAATATCAAAGTATTTTTTTTGTTTGTTTTTTAACATATGTGGGTGAGTTAATAAAGCCAATTCTCTTTATGTAATTGTATCTTATTTTGAGCAAACCTAGTATATGCAACTAGACTGATCCAGTTGGCATTTGTGTAGACCTGGAATAATGTATTTTTATTCACATCAGCAGATGACATATGTGTTTTGAGGGCTGTCTGGATTGGAGAGATTTCATATTGATTTGATATTGTGTTTTCCCAAAACACCTGATCCAATCCGACTGAGAAACTAAAAAAAAAACAAAAAAAAAAAAAAATTGTGCAACTTCATACTGTGGTTGGTGTTACATAAATCTTTTTTTTTAATATGCTGATGATTAGGAATTACGTGAAAGGCTGTGACCATTTTAATCCACATTGTTACTGTAACAGTATTTTCACGTCAAGTATTCCATGTTGGTTTTCTGTGTTTAGTGTTATCTTCTCCTATGTTCTGTTAACAAGGTTGTTATGATGTAAAAGATTTGCTGTCCTTGACACATTCAGTTAATTAACAATAGCTATGGTACCTGTAATGACTCAATCTTTTTAATGGGAAAACTTTAAATTTTACAGATATTTAATTTCCTGAAGCCATAAATTCTTTATATTAGTGGTGGCAACAAAATTAAAAAGCGGGCCATCTTTTGGTTCCATCTAATACAGTAAAATCATCACATGCTATATAGAAATATATTTTTTATGATTTTAAAATGATATTTCTGAAAAATTGATGATTTTTCTCCATTAAAAAGCTAGAGTGATTAATGTAGTTTCAACTCACTGATGCTTCACTTGCTGACAGTACACCACTGTTCTGGTGTTTTGAAGAGTACATGCCCCTTGCAGAACTTCTGCCTAAACAGTTTAAAACAAACTTGTGAAAGTGAGGGAAATTCTCTTGTAGCTTAATCAGGTGGAAGGAACTCTCAAAACCTAATTTGAAAGATGGAATACACTGTGTAAAGAGGCCCTTAATGCACCGCCTACAAGTAATGCAATTGCGTTTCTTTTTCACCATGAAATTGAAAATTAATTTCCATACTGCTTTGAAGCCGTAGAAGGAAGAGAATCACAGTAGCACCTCTCGTTTATTTATCTCCGAGTGTCTGTCTAGTCATAATCCGTGCGCATGAGAGAGAATACACAGCAGAAGAAATACACCTATGTCTTTTCCTAGCTATGAGCTGTTAACCATGGCTTTTAAACACTTTTCATAAAGATGATTGCAGATTGAGAAGCACAGATACGTACATTGCCTCTGCGAGTCAGTAACACATTAACTTGCTGTCTTAACAAATCATGCTTCTATTACTGACAGAATGGTGGTTTGTTTTTATGCATATATAACTATCTAATTGAATTGATTTGCAGCAATTACATTCTACAGATATATTTCCATTAATTGTTTCAACTTGGCTGTTATTCGGTTGCTTTATATTGATGGTAATGCTTGGAAATGATTGACTGAGAGTGCATTAAGTGAAACTGTTAAATGGGATCAGAATATTATTTTAACTTACGACATTGTTTTTTTCCTATGTTACGGCTTTGGTATATATTTTACAGATATTTAGATTGATGGTCTTGGATGAACATTATTTATGTAAAGAAGATAGATGATGGTGAAAAATGCAACTTTCAGTATAATTTGAATAAATTGTTTGATTTATTAATGGTGATAGCGTATACATGTATGACATAAATGTCATGTCAAATGACAAGTCTTTTCAAAACATTCAGCCTTGGAAATCAATAGTTAAATGGTGAATTGATCATTCCCAAGAGTACAGGCATATGGTTTCAGCAGTTGTTGTAGTTTGTGAATTCGTTTTCTGGTATTTATATTACTGCTTAGAATCTTGTTATGGAACAAAAAAAAGGACTTGCAAGCTAAATATCTGCCATTGTCAAAGAGTTATTTTTACAGAGAATATTTGAAAAGTGATTTATTTGTTCATCAGTAAGAATTGATTTCTTGAAAAAAATCTTTTTTTGCTGTATTTTTATATCAATCCTGTCTCTAACAAAACCGGCTTAGCATAATTTGATGAAAAGAAATTACCAAATCAAGATAAAATTATATATAACTAAATTGTTAACTTTATCTCTCTCTTTCCAGTTTGTTTGAGATTATGCAAACTCTTTACTGGGGCAACTTTGGTCTAATAGACTTGGAACATTTTACTCTGAAGGAAGACCACACCATCACACAGCTCTTGTTGAAGCTGATGTTTGGAACCTATTCTTGGATTGCTATTGTGGTGCTACTCAACATGCTCATTGCCATGATGAGCAACTCTTTCCAGATTATTTCAGTAAGTTGTGCTCCCAGTTAATTGTACTGGTATTTTTTCCTGTGATGTACTGTATGTACATGTAAATAAATAGGACAAATATAAATATCAATGCTTTGATAAGATTCTTATATGCACTCATAATTGTAATTTATGAGAGAAAGGAAGAGTGTTTGGATGCAAGACTAAAGATAATAAAATAATAAGAAATTACTTTATCTTCATTTTTTTTAAATTAACAAGTATGATTAATTGCTTTTCCAGAGCATGCAAGACACGGAGTGGAAATTTGCCCGCTCAAAAATGTGGATGAGTTATTTTGAGGAAGGTGGCACCCTCCCTGCCCCTTTCAATATCATACCCACTCCCAAGACAGTCTGGAATATTCTGGTCTGGCTGAAGAATGTTTTTTGCAGGTGCTCTAAGAGACAGAAGAGAAATAGGTGGCAGAGTATTAGGGTAAAGCACGTCTTCTCATTAACAAAGTGTAACACCCCATTTCCATAGATTTTTAGATCGATCTATCCCTGTGGGGAGTCTCACTAGATTACTGTCAGCTTGGCCGGTTTAAGCGTCTGTCCCGCCTACTAAAAGCTGTAAGGGGGTAATTAACTATGGTGTGTGCTCGTCTGACTGTAATTTAGTGTGAACCCCCAGGGAGTTAGGTCGATCTAAATTTTAATCCCTGGATCGATCTAAATCTCTGGAAATACACCCTTACATTTAAATTTACAAAGTAGCTATAGTGTAGCTCAGTATGAGATATTGGGGATGGGAAATTTCACCCATTTGCAATTATTTTTTTCTGTATTAAAGTAAATTTGCTGAACACAGTTTAAGGTTAAACTTTTACTTTTCACAGGTATCATATGCTTATCCAATATTATACAGCATTCAAAGAAAAGTTTGGAAAAGAAGCTGTACAGTAGATAGAATAGAGTCAGTCATCAAATAGAAAAAAAATACAGAATATGTTTAGCAAAGCTTTCTCATTTATGTCACTCACATGTGATTCCATAGGTCTATTATCAATTGCAAGTAGAGCATAAGCTGCATACTCTTGAATGCTTCCTTTCCATTAGTGTTCACTTGTGTACTTGAGTCAGGAATCCTCTTCATTCAAGTGATTTCAAGTTCGTGATTGTGTGATGGTGTATGAACAAGATATGGAGTGAAGGACATGGGCATGTATAAGATCCGTTGGCACAAGCATTATGACCACATCAAAGTTGTATATATATGTGTTGGAGGGGGGCAGAGGTCATCAGAAATTTAGATAATTATGCTTCATCCTTCTTGCCATCAGCAATGAGCATCACAATCTTGAAGTTATTTTCAATAGCCTTTTTTATGATTACTAAAAGTAAGAGTTATCTCCACATGTAACAGCTTGTGATATTTTCAGAAACTTGTTAAGAAAATCCATGACAGGGAACAGAAGTACCAGGTAAGTAAGCAGAATAATTATAGTAATATCAGCTTTGTGGTAATACAACAGTAAACACTACTCTGACCAAAACTGCCAGTTGTTATATTTAAGATTATTTTATTTTTGTCACTGGTAGATTTTTTTTATTTGTTTGGGGCATTTGGATGTGGATGGGGGAAGGTTTTCTACTTGTAATCCAATATTTATGCATTGTTTAATTTTTCCCATTTGTTTGCCAAAAATATTGCTCTCTTACTTAAACTATTAAATTAGTCCTTTTTTTTTTTTTTTTTTGTTTTGGGCCATTATGACCATGCTATTTTGTTAACATTTGTACAGGCGGTAGTTCGAGACCTTATCAAACGCTACATCATGTCCAAGCAGAGGTTCAAGGAAGACGAAGGGGTCACAGAAGACGACATCAATGAGATAAAGACTGACGTATCATCATTTCGTTATGAATTACTTGAAATTCTACGGAACAATGGCATGAAGATCCCAGAATACACACAGAACAAACCAAGTTCGAGTAAGAAAAAACAACGTAAAAAACGATATCGAACCAGGTGAAAGCGTCCCATCGCAATCCGCAGTACGGAGCCATAAAATTCTTACAAGTTTGTATAAGTTATTTTGGACAATGCTGGTGGTGTAGTTTTTAGATTTGAGTTGCCTTTGGCACATGTGCTGGAAAGAAAGGTTTCTTTTGAGGGCCACGGGGGGCGTACCAAGTGACCACTGTTGTAATAACTATCCTGACATTGCTCTCTTTCTCTCTCTCTCCTCCAATCCCCTGTGGCCCCTTATAAGCACATGTGACATAGAATTGGCATGCAATGGGCAATGAATGCTGCATGGTCCCCTCCCATCATCCTCAACTTATGTAAGTGATACAGCTGGGCTCATTCCTCACTGTGATTTGATTGTTCATGTATTTCCAACAGAAAAAAAATCACCATTAAAGGGATAATAACTCTTCGTATGAGATCTATATTTCACAATAAAAACATTGTGACTAACTCATAAAAATATAATATATTCTGTTGTACTAAAATACGGCAGTTATAGCTATTATTCTGATAACTGAGCTTGTCTTCAGACCACGTGACCTCCATTGATGGCTGTACTCTGTTAAAATCTTTTAAGAGATTTTAACAAAAAACCAAACTTTTTAGAAAAAAACCAGGGACTAACTTTGAATGTAAAAATGGATTCATTAACCATTAGTAAGTATGGGAAATTGTTGTTTACTCCAGGAAAATTTCTTTTTTTTTTTTTTTTTGCCAAAACGAAGAGTTATTATCCCTTTAATGATTATAACAATGAATGAAGTAGATGATTCAAAATTTTTACTTTTAGTATATGAACAATAGACCCTTAAAGTTAATTGCTATGTCACTTACATCATATTTGTGTGATTTTTAAACTCTGTTATTCATTGCCCAACTTAATTTTTCCTTAATATTTAGTTAGATTAATTTTCAAGTCTGAAGTAGTTTTAATAATTTTGGCTCACTTTTCGGTTTAGACCACTTGTATCGTGATGGGGACGTTTTCACCATTCAATTGTATGTTGCATGCCAGCAACTAGAGTTGTGTTTATATTCTTGATTTTGTTTCGGAAAACTACACCATACTTAATAAGCCTTACACCATCTTTTCTAATTTACATAAGTGATTTGATCTAAAGACCTTTTGCATGCGATGCCACTTGCCTCACAAGGCAGGCTTAGGCGACCATACAGATCAACAGCTGTATGGGTCAAGATACAATGTACCAAATTGTAAATAAAAATGTTACAGTAACATGGACTAATGACTTTTCCAAATGTAAAAAGGATCACTCTGTACACTTCAGTTTGTTCTTAGTAAGTAAACAATGATCAGCTACAACTGTAACTTGTTATCCATGTGAAGTGTAATCCTATGTGTTATGAATCAAAATGACTATCCTAGCATGAAACCATCCTCGAAAGCCAGGGTTTATAGTCATTGTTGTTTCTTGGCTTTATTACCTTCTTTTCGATAACCTTGTTCCCAAGACTTAAAAAAAAAAAAATAATAATAATAAACTAAATGTTGCCCAGATTTTGAAACAACCTATAAGCTCTTTTTGTTTTTCAGCCAGAAATATCAAATGCATAATTTTTTTCTAAGCTGTAATTTATTTATGTGGACTTCAAGGCAGTCTCATATGATATGCTTAATTTCAAGGTAGATCTACCAGTCAGTGCAGTCAACGTCTAAAAGCTTTTGAGAGAACCTCTGTGATTCAATGAGACAGGGGTGGTATTAAAAATATGCACGTACAAGTGAGGTTCATGCAAGAGGGGGTTCGTATTTCCCTCTCATTGAATTCTTATCCCTCTATTTAAATGGTGTGTTTACTATAATCATTGTTATATCATTAAATTGTTTTTACAGGGATGAGAAGACTGGAACAAAAGAGGAGCAAAACAAGATTCTCTTTGCAGGATCTTGACCGGGTGCGTCAAAGGATTACATCCAGCTCTCCAGATCTATATCGGCAAGGGAACCAATCAAGTTCATTACGCATGGCCCACAGTAATGGCTTGAAGAAACGGCCAGATTTGGAGACTGTGCAGGAAGAACGATTTGAACGCTCAAAACACTGGAGTCTGAAAAACAATCGAGGGCCACCGAAAAATGTGCGTACCAAAATGGTGCCACAGGACAGTCTTCAAGATGAGGGAATTGGGGAGTCCTTTGATCAGCAGACGGTCGTCAGTGAGCCAGGTTGTACTACGAACGGACCTAATGGCTACCTGAACAATTCGTTTGACAGAATGAAAGGAGATGACATTGAAGTAGTATTGGACCCAATCCAGTCTGAGACCACCACAGAGCAAGTTGTGGTAAATAATAATTCAGAAATTCTCCTGGAACCCAGAACCCTTCCAGGTTTTGAAAAAAGACGTCCCGATACACCTAGTGAACAGAGGAGTCCCTTTACGAACAAGAGACTTGGGTCCATCAAGAAGGCCAACTTCTCCTGGGGGAGTTCCGAGGAAAGTGAAAATGAAGATTGTGGCAACATTGGCAAGCAGACATATTACTATGATGGAAAACCTCAACTAGAGGGTCTTCCTGAAGAGAAGTCACCATCAAACTCCCCCAAGGGTGACAAGAAAAGTGAGAATAAAACAGTTCCCACAACACATTTCTAACTTCACCATGTCCCCGTCTCTGACAAACCCTTTGTTGAATGTCCAGTTTGTTAGCAAAATTTTCAGTTAAAAATTTTCAGTTTCAGTTAAGTCGGGTTAATAGGTTCTAACAAGTAAGTACCTTGGTTTAAAAGGGTATGTAATTTTCCTTTCCCTTGTGCGTCCGTAGAAAATGTTTCAGAGAAGTTAAATGGTATATATGCCACCCACGTCTCTCTAGATCAGACCATGTGTTCTTATTACGTATCTATATACCTCATCTTTATCTCTGCTGTAGAGATATACATAACCTAGAGCAAAGAGTCGAGAAAACAAATGATATGCTGTTAGCTAAGGTAGTCATGGCCAGTATCCAAAATGGGAGCCTTTCTGAAAGGACTCCAACTTCTTTTACGTGGTACATAGGAAAGGAGGCAGAAGTAGGTACATATCACTCAAATATCTGTTATTGATAATCTGATGTGTGCATTTTAAGGAAGGGCAGAGATGCAATCTGCATGACATAAGAAAGTTCTTAGAGACAGTTTGTCTGTAAATCTGTTTTTTTTTTTCATAAAGTTATGCAACTAATTGTCATAGATATTCTGAAGTGCAAAACATGGTTCACTGTTACCTTGTGGGTATTAAGTTTTGTTCTACACGTACCTGTAGAGAACTTTATATCTTGTAATTGCAATTTACCTGCCAGGATTTCATGACATTACAAAGTTTTCATATTGATCAACAAATGCAAATTATGTTCACAAACGAGTATACATTTTTTCCACCATATCATGATCCAAAAGTCATGACTATATAGATGCAAGATTTTTCTGATCCAAGTACCTTTTTCATGTCTTTCATACACACACATAAGATGATTTATTTGTAATTCTTTTCAAAGAAAAGCATTTTTCATAATATCATTACTAAGGTGCTATTGTCAACCTGGTAAATGGAGAACATGTAAATGGAGGTAGATTTCTACAAATTCTACACAACTATCTGTCTGCTTTGTATTCTGGTATATTATTTATAACATAATAAACAGCAAAGCTACAAAATGAAATGGTCAATTGAAATGAGAACTCCAGTATTAACAAACCTAATTCTGAGTGCAATTATTCATTTATTATTTAAAGATCAATGTTTGTACATCGTGTTAATGTTTCCTTCCTACTGAATATGAGCATACCTCAAATATATATTATATTATTGAAGTTGAATTATTGTAGAGAGTGTGGAATTATTATTTAATTTACAATATAGGTTGACAGAAAGGTTTCTAATCTAATTCATCATGATTGGTATGCGAGTACTGTGATAGAGGAAGTGTATTCCCAATTAACTCTTACAGTTACCAGAACAGTAATAATTGTTAGCTTTTGACAGTTTTTGGTTCAGCTTTACCATTATAGGGCTTTAGATTTCACAAACTGAAAAGTGGTTGTGCAGTATGCAAATAGGTCACTGCCATTTTGATAGTTTACAAAACTGGCTTATTATTATTATTTTTCATTCAGTGACAAAACTGGGTTTTTACATCGTTGAAATATGCATCTGTTACTAACAACACCTAGTCCATAGAACAGTCAACAGGATCTATATTTCAAGTCTTCGGCAGAGAGTTATGCCTAAATGGAGCCACCAGTGATGTAATCCTACTTAGATAGATCCAATTCTGCAGGGACTCTTGCTGAATGCACTCAGATTAACATTCACGCCTCCCCCTGGCATTGAATAGAATACAGAATAACTGGTGATTATACGAGTGAACAAGAGGCGTGTTGATCTTATTGCATTCAGCAGGAGTCCCCTTACAGTTGGATCATTGTATGTAGGGTGATAGTGTCATTGGGAATGGGCTCTCGGAGAGCATGTTATATTTACAGTGATTGGTAGTCAGGGGCCAGTCGAATGCTGAGTCAATTCAAGATAAAATCCTAAATTGTCCACTTCAGTAAAATAAGTAATGATATAAAAAGTTACCCAAGTCTCTCCTGTATGAAAACAGACATGCATGTCATTTAATTGAATTATCAATTTATTGTGTGTAAATGTGGACAATTTTTTTTTTTTGTGTGTGTGTGTGTGTGTGTGTGTGTGTGAAACATATCACAGGGGATGAATATCTTACACCAAGATGATAGCAGGTATTTATATATATATAAATTATGCACATTTGTTCATATGATATGAAACTGAATATGGAATTGNTTGTGTGTAAATGTGGACAATTTTTTTTTTTTGTGTGTGTGTGTGTGTGTGTGTGTGTGTGAAACATATCACAGGGGATGAATATCTTACACCAAGATGATAGCAGGTATTTATATATATATAAATTATGCACATTTGTTCATATGATATGAAACTGAATATGGAATTGAAATTATATCCATTTATTTTATGTAAGAACAGATCAGATAATTCTACAGTATACACAGTTTAACAGTATTTTAGTTTTAAGCATCTCGTATAATGAGCACATCTTGAAATTGATTGCAATTACACCTTTTTTTTTTTAAGTTTCTTTCAAGCCTGTGGTTTAAGTGGAGTTTGACTGCGCCCTGTTCATTTTACCCAGTGATATGAAAATAAGGCATGTTATATAATACAAGAAATGATTTTTAATTTACCATCACTTTTACTGTTTGAATTTATTTATTTATTTATTTATTTTTTATAATTATCATTTTTTTTTAAAGGCAAGGACTCAATCTGAATGCATTTTATTTGATCCAGGAATATACCAAAGATTTTTGTTTTGTAATATGTAGTTAGTGTTGCACACATTGGGGGGTTTAAAATATGGGAGATTGAAGATTGACAATGGCAGGATTGAAATGCGAGAGGTGTTTTACATGCTATTTGTAGACAATTGTTATTAGAATTGGAGAAGTAGTTATTAGTGGAATGGCAATGAATGCAAAGGCATTTGAGCTGGACTCTGAAGCTTTTAGTCGTGATTTTTATTATGATAAACAAGATTGGGATGTGTAAAACATATCTTATGGCCTTTTATTTGTTGTGAGTGTATATATTTATAATTGGATTTTTTGTTAAGAAATACTATCCCAACATCAAACATGCACAGCTGTGATGAGAGATATTCTTGGTGCTTTTATGAAATTTTATGATACTTCATATAATTAGTCAAAGTAACTTTGTCATAATATGACCATGATGACGTTATTTGCAGAGATTAAGGCTTCAATGGAGTTAGGATATAATTTTTAGATCTTAATTTCCAGGAAGAGGACAGTTTTGGTTAGGAGAATGCTTGTTGTGATATGAAATTCTCTTTTGAGTTCTTTTTTTAAAAAAACACCAAGATTTGTTCATCTTTATTTATTTTGTGATTTGTTTTTTTATTGCCATTTGAGATTTTTTTAGTTTTGAATTCAAATTTTGGTTGAAAAGCAAGCCTTGGCAACATCTTTTGAAAAAAAAAAAGAGCAGTCTCCACAAACTGCTTTGAAAAATTACGCAGGATAATTTTATTGCAGCTTGAGCAAAATACTTATACTGCATACTCTTTTTGCAACTTTTTTCAATATTTAAAATTGATTGTGGAATCCTTATTCCCCCCTGCTTAGTGCTGCCTTAAATTGCATTAAATGTATCTCTTCTTTTTAAAGGCAAGAAGTGCATTTTTAAATGTTTACCTTTTAATTAAAGAAAAAAAAAATTGATATCCTGTATGAAAATTTTACTTGTTTTCAATTCAAATTGTTACAATTTTTACAGTTTAGCTCACAGATAAGCACTATGTACGAGTATTCTCATTTTGAATTCTTACAAAGTAAAAGTTGTTGACAACATCATATCATTACCTTACGTTGTGAGTCAATAAAGTTTGTAAAAGTCTGACATCGCTTTTTGGTATGTTTCTTGGCAAACCATCCGACATAACAGTTGAACCACAATTCCAGACCAATTACCATAATACTGATACACACCCATGCAAATGCATTCTCCTAGTAAGGCTATACAAATCTTTTGCATCTTCCGTAGACTCAAAATAAGATGCGTGTATTGACAGCACCACAATAACTTAAAATATAGAAACATAATAATGGGAAAATGCTGCTCTTCAGCATCCTTCAAACCTAACCTTACTCTGCTACTTGACCATGCGTGGGATATCAATAATAACCCAAAACGGCTGTTACGTAAAATGGTCTGCAGCACTGTATAATGAACCTTCAACTCATCGAAATGTTGAGCTAAAAACTGTCCAATCATGAAGTTCACACAGAATCTTGAAACCATGATTGTACTCCAGATAATTGACCATACTTATATTCGATTCCTTGGTAGATATCTTGGGAAGTATTTCGGATGGAACACGACTCTAGACCTGGTATAGACTTTGAAGAAGTAAATGTTTGGACTGCTGGCACTTGTCAAGTCTTTCGTGGGGCCTTGAAGTGAATAGATGAGACTTTAGTGAATAGGCAAAAATGTTATACATTAATGTTGAATTTCAAAAAGGGAGCCACAATCACTTGAGTCCATATGGCCTTACAAGCTACACTATGAACCATGGCTTGTGTGTTTTGAACACAAACAATAAAATCTGGGTGATAAACATTAGCAAAACTTGAATGTGTTATATATGAAAAATACATATAACATTTTAAATAATGTTTATCATCATAGCATTATTATACAACAAAATGAACTTATATGAAATTATCATTATAATTGATGGTACAATAGCCACCAATCCAGAATCTTAAAAAATCTATGTAATACTTAAAAAATAAATAAAAAGCATCCCACCTCTTACCTATCGAAGATGGTGTATAATATCTCTTACCTGCCAAAGAACACTTGCAATATATCTCTTGCTAATTTAGGGAAGTATGACTGTTTGACCACATGGGATAAAACCAGCATTGGACCACTTGGGTCAGCCACTGGCTTTACTTTGTCTTCACTCTGAATAGGAAAACAAATGACAGGCCAAATCAAATACACCCACACTAACAGAAATCAGTTACAAACTTTTACTTTTTTTTATTAATTTGCTCAATACATGTGCATCATACATTTCTCCTTTTAAATTGATTGAAATGAATCTCCCATCACCTAGGTAAAAATTAATTGATGTAAACTTTCAAAGGATAATCTGGAGTTTTTTTTTTTTTCATTACCAGGCATGTTTGTCAACAGTTTATCATTTCATGCTTAATATGATGCCTGACATTGCTAAATCCAACTGTCAATAAAAGTTTTAAAATGCAGTTTCTTTTGCACTGGCATGCTCCTCTCCCAGTAATTAAAAACTTTAGATGAAACTAAATGCACCAACTAGCAATTTAATGAAGTAAAAAAAACAGTAAATTAAACAGTAAAACTACCAAGAAGAGATTTACCTTCAGCAAACCTATGTGTACAAGAATTGAGTTTGAGATGGTAGCCATGGTCCTTTCATCTGTACCATGTAACAGCTTTCCTAACAGAGAATCTGAAAACAAAAATAAATTGCATAGGAATGACTTTTGAAAAGTAGCCAATCATAGTGATATTGAAAAACAAATGAACTTGACAAAAAAATTTAATGCAACAAAAGCCTAGGACACAAACAAAAGCCAAGAGACTGAAGTGCAAAAAGCCCGTTATAAGGTGCTTCAAAAATAACTAACGATTCAAATGCCCGTCCATACCTGCGATTTCATTGACAGCATTTTGTGCTTTAGTATTTTCTGAAGACACCACACATGATATCTGGAATTTAAAATCAAAATTTTGGAATATCACAAACTATACGATAAAATTGGTAACTTATTTGCCACTGCAGAGTGAAACGCAAGATTTCTCCACACTATCTACAACCACTAACGTGTATCGTTAGAAATTTGAGGTGCATGCATGTTACACTCTGCCCTCGTTCTTTGTAATAATTCATAAGAAAATTGATGTGTGATGATGATAAGTGCTTTAATCTCACTTAACTTCCATGATTTCAATTTGACAGTCTAGCAAGCTTACCTTCATTAACGTCTGGATACATTTATCTGTGTTGTTCAAGTCTTTCTGTAAAATGAACAAAATTTGACCAACTGAAGCAAAGCTTTTTTTTTCCAAAAGATATACAATGTACAGCATCACTAAAAAATCAAATAAAAACAACTTCAAGTGTTGTGACCTATTCTGACAATTCATTTAAAACATTTATTGTACAAAGTTAACAGTGAACTCTCATAACATGACATAAATGTTGTCAATGCATGTATCTCACCTCTATTTCTGTCATAATTTTTGCAGTTCCATCAGAACCCAGTGAAATCAACTTAGGTGCAGTAGGCAACTGTAAAAATTCTGTTACACTGACAGGCTGAAAAAAATTTAAAGCAAACTTTTTAGCACTGGCAGAATACAAACAACACATACACTAGTATCATTTTAAAGATGCTACACATATGCCATCTGGTGGCATCACTGACATACTAACACCACCACACTACCACTTTCATTTGTCCACTATGAAACATTAATCAAGTACATTTGTAGTTTTACAATTCCAAGGTCCAATTGGACTATGATGGCTTCATTCAGATAGGCTGGTTGCAGATATCTGAAGTTATTCTTCATAAATTTT